CTGTGCCAGTGATCTCCACCCACTTTGGCCTCTGGCTGCCGACTGCAGACTTCAGAGAGCTGAAGCGACCTGGCCTTGGCCCGTGTGAGTCCCCAGCACCTGCAGCCTGGTACATAGCAGGCACCCAGGAAAGGTCTGCTGAATGCTGCTGCAAAGAGAGCCCAGCCTTCCAACCCATACCCGCCAGCTGGAGGGCCTCACCTCAACGGCTGACACCTGAAGTGGGGCACCCAGCATCCTCGTTACAATAGTACAGAGGAGGAAACTGAGGCAAACAGGTGCCTGCAGACCATCACCCTCAGGACAGACGCCTGCCACCGCCGCCTTCAGGACAGGCGCCTGCCACCACCACCTTCACGACAGGCGCCTGCCACCACCACTGCACGACTGGTAGCCCCTGAGGACGTCCCCCCACGGCCCTGGCTCAGCTCTCCTCCCTTGTCCCCTAGCCCCAGCACTAAACACACAGCAGGACTTCCACGCCTCCTGGACTCAGCTCACCTGGGCCTTCTCACACTAGGTAAGCAGGCAACGGCAGGTTTTCCTTATTTTCAAGCATCACTTGGCCTAACAGAGCCAGGTTAGGGGAGGCCGGTCGGTCTGCAGACAAGCCCACTGCGAAGGCCCTTCTGGGTCTCAGTGGACGCACAGGCCCCCGGAGCCCAAGAGGCCCAGCCCCAGCGGGGCCACTGGACAGCCCGAGAGCCAGGCCGCTGATCCTCCCGAGGTGCTACCTGCCTCGGAGCCTGGTTCTGAGAAGTAAACGGGGTAACGTTCTAAAGCAGTGGCCTTCAAACCAAACCCCCCAAAATAAATGTTTAAAACTATGCATCTATTTGCACATTTTCAAGTTGACATCTAAAATTTCTCTTTGTAAGTTTAAATACTTGTAGAGGATGTAATTTCGAACATATTGTAAATATTAACATTTCAAATAAAACTGTTACTGTTCCTCTTTAAATAAGGATCCAATGGAATCTAAATAACATAGCGATTTGAGATCCACCACCATCCATCTTAAAATTACAGAATCAGACTCTTCTTAAATACTTGGAAAGTTAGCAGTGTTCCCCCTTGCCCTCAAACTCCAGTTCCCAATCCACATCCGTCAGAGATGTTCTACTATCAGTGTATTTGTGTTTGAAGGCCTTTTATTGATTGTTCATCATACTAGGCCAAAAAGATGTATATAAATATTTTCATTTTTTAATTTCACGTGACCATAAAGCTCTAAGTGTCAAAAATTTTCTTCTGGGGCCGGCCCGGTGGCGCAGTGATTAATTTCGCGTGCTCCACTTTGGCAGCCCGCAGGTTCAGATCCCAGATGCAGACCTACACACCGCTCATCAAGCCATGCTGTGGCAGCGTCCCATATACAAAACAGATGAAGATAGACACAGATGTTAGCTCAGGGACAATCTTCCTCAAGCAAAAAGAGGAAGATTGGCAACAGATGTGCACTCAGGGCCAATCTTCCTCACCAAAAAAAAAAAAGCATAAAAAATTTTTCTTCTGGACTGATTATTATAATTATTATTAGTATATAATTGATCAATACAACAGAAATATACTACAAATTTGTATGAGTAATAAGCATAAAAAATTAAACCTTATTAGAAATACATCTCAGAAGAGATGAATGTGAATTTTTTTTAACTATTTCAGATATCCACAGATGAATATTACCTTTTATAGAGTAAGGCAGAGTTTATTATCAATTCTATCTCTATCAATTTTTATAGCTACAAGTGCTGAAACCACTTATTCAAATAAATAAAAAGATGGAATGGGAAGAGGTTTATCATAGCAAATTCTATGAATTCCTTTAGAATTATATGCCAAAAATTACAGTAATTTATTATCAAAAGTCATTTTTAATGTTCTATCCGCTGACAACTCAATCAGGTCCTCTTTCAATTTTGTTGTAAAGTGAAGAACTGGAAACACCTCACTTCCCCAGGATCACAACAACCAGCCACCGGCTGCTCAGGAGGGCTTTATGCCTGGGGGTCACACACCAGACTCACGTCTGCCTGTGGATAACAAGAGTGTGTGTTTCTGCTGCAGATAACCAGCTTCCTGTGTGCTAGGCACCCTGCCAACAGTTCTGTCCACATTAACTCAATTAGCCCTCACAAAGATCCCAGGGACCATGCACCACTATTATCCCCATTTTACAGACAGAAGACTGAGGCACAGAGTGGTTAGGCAACTGGCCCAAGGTCACACAGCAGAAACATGAACCCAGGGGATCTTGCTCCTCACCACTACATACACTGCCTCTGCGGAGGTGGAATAGGCCTGATATGAAAGGAGCAGCTGGCAAGGAGGGTTTACAAGCTCCTTCCCAAGCAGATCAGCTGTGGGAGCGAGCGCATGAGCATCTGTGAAATTGACTTTCTTAAATGTGCTCCCACCTCCACCTCTTGGAGAGATTACACACAAATGCTTCTTTCAAGTAACTGGCATCAATGCCCGGTACACAGTAGTACCCAGTTACTCTGCCATGAGACAGCAAGAAGAGAAAGAACTCCCACGACCGGGACAAGCGCTGCAGGAGCTCACCAGCATTTCACAGTCCTGGTCGCTGACCCTAGGCCCCAACATCCCTTTTCAAATAGTAGCCCAAGCCCAGGTAGTAACAGGCCTGGAAGCATTTAGTAAATGGAACAGTCCATTAACATGCAGAGGAGACCCAATTAGCAGAAAAACCAGGGGCTTCGAAGACAAACCCACCTGCAATCAAATCCCAACGCTACCACTCACCAGCTGAGGTCCCCAAGAGAAGCCACAACATTCTGAGCCTCAGTTTCCTTGTCTCTAAAAAGGACATGAAAACACCACTCACGACACTGGGTGGCTGCACAAAATGGGACCATGCCCATCAGGGCACCTGACACAGGAGATACCGGTGGAGGCTGGTGGCATGCTTATTCTCAGCCTCTTCAATCACTGACACCCAGTGCCTGGCAAAACGCCCCCTCCAGCATCCAGCAGCCCACCAGCCTGGGGATCAGGTGCAGAGAGGCCCGGCTGATTTTGAAAAACCAGCCAAGCGGCTTGGCTTCCAATTTTTGCCAAGAGCCTTTCTCTACGCCTTGAAATTTCAAGTTCTCCAAACACTTGGGGATGCCACAGGGAGGTGAACGAGCAACGTGTCACTGGGTGTTATTTTTAGATGCTGGCGTGGAAAGCATCACTCTGGTCCCCAGCCACCACTTCCTCCCCCAAGTCATCACCAAAATGAACAGCACACATCAAGAAGGATTTCATAACTCTTCCTCCGCCTGGTACATTCTATAACAATGGCTCCACTCTCCCGTTCCACCCTCAGACTAAGTGGATTAAAGGTTTTAGTCTAAATCTTCCCAGGAAGCCACATAAAACAAACACACTGAACCCCGGGGTTGTCCCTCACATCCTGAAGCTCCAAGGCCCTCTCTCCACCCCCCTCCCCTCCCAGGGTGGGGGTGGCATCCCTGTGTTACAGTCTAGGATCTGGCGTGAACAGGAATCAGGTGTAGGGGGAACGGCACATTTCTTCCCCTTTTAAGCAGTGTGAGTGTTGCTGAGCACGTGAATTCACTTCCTCTAAAAATGGCTCCCAACAGAAATTTGCTCACAGACCCTGACAAGCGGCTATAGCTAACACAGGGAAGCATCTGGCCCACAGCGAGCTCCAACTATGAGTCCAGGCCTCGGTGGTGAGTACAAAAGAATCTGCAAGGCTGGGACTTCCAAGGTAACCATCAGAAAGGACTAAGAGACAAAAATAAGCCCGAGCATCCTGGAGCAAGAATGGTCTGAGACACCTAGCCTCAGAATGACAAATACACAAGTGCTCCTCCTCTGCCCCTTGCTGGACCCCTGGCAAGCATTATCAATCAATCCCTGCCCTCAGCCATTCAGATTTAGAATCCTCCAGGCAGCCACAACCAATCAATCAATCAGAAATGGCCCCAAAAGCACACTTTTTAGCCATTCCTGAATTCAGACTTCCTCCTTTTGATATATGGAGAGATTAGGGTCCACAGAAAAGCTTAGTGCAGATCATGCAACTGCGCAGAGCCAAGATGAGCCTGGAGGAAAGATCTAATGCAAGACTTCCAGAAACTACCTCCTTCCCCAAAACAAACCTCAGCCTCCGGGTGACAAGTTCAACCCACAAACTACAAGGAGTTAGGCCAGAAGGAAGAACTCAGCAGCTCTCCACCAAGGCTGCTGGACAGAGCGCCCAGCCCCGCCCAGCCCCACCCCACCTAGCACCCCCATGGCTGCTGTCAGAGCCTGTACATCTATTTTGGGGCCACAGAGCCGGCCCCAGGCCCTAGGAGAGCTTCTGCCTCCACCCATCCGTCCTTCCTTCCTTCTCCAGCCAATGAGCTCCTGACCCAAGTCCACCCCAGGATGAGGCAACACAGGGATCAGGAGCCCCCACTTACTCAGCCCACCCTCCAGAAGCCAGGGGCCCATAAGGAAGATCAGGTATGGCCAACTGACGGTAGAAAAGGGGTGACGTAGGGGAAGAGACGCACCCTGACTGGGGAGGAGGGGAAGAAGGGTGAGGACAGGAGTGGTCTTGGAGATGACACCACTCACAGGAATGGTCTGAGATAGGAGAGGGCTCATCCCCAGAGGGCTGAACAGCCAAGGCAGGTGCCCAGGGGGGCTCGTGCTCCCTTGGCAGAGCCTGAGGACAGGCACAGACAAATCGTGGGGGCATCAGGACCACAGACGTCCAGCTGGGTGGCGATGTCCCCTCACCCTGCCCATCACGAGCACCACCCCAGCCAACTCCTTCCACAGACAAAGCCACAGCAACTCCACAAACCCGAGAGACCACCAGCCCAACCCGTGTCTTGCCAGCATGGAAACCACGGTGCTTCCACAGGGAGAAGTGAAGGGAGGGCCGAGCGCCCAGACTCTTCAGAGAGAGGGGGCAGGCGGGTGCTAAAAGGCCCCTCCGCCTGAACAACGGTGAGAGCACGGTCGGTACTCACCTGCACGACTTCTATCCCTCGCTTCCTGCGGAGAAAAACAAAAAAAAACAAAGGTTAATCCAACAGGCAGGAAGCATCCTTTCAGAACATTCACTACAGCCAGCTGGAGGCAGGAGGGTGAGGAGAGCGGGTGGCTGCACCTCTCAGGCCACGGTCCCCACAATGGCCTCGTTCTCGAGGGGAAGGTTTATGAGCTCTAGCCAGTCCTCAAAGCCACCTTCTGGCAGAAGGAGAGGGTTGGTCCCCAAGGGAACTTAGCTGGAGCTCCCCAGAGACCCCAAGTTCACTAGTTCTCAAAGCCAGCTGTCCAATCCAGACCTTTGTGGGTGCAGCTCCAGCCTGGATTACCCCAAGACCCTCCCCACCACCGTTGTCACGACTGACGGCCTGGCCCTCCCTCCTTAACTCAACCACCCCCATGGCTCCCCGTTTCCTCCCACCTCAGCCCAGCCCTAACACCTTGGCCCAGCTCCCAGGTCTGCCTCAGCCCATGCACTCTCCCACGGGCAGAAAGCCCTCAGACCCTTCAGTCCTGCCCCGGCTCTTGTCCACCCTACCCACCCTCTGACCCTGGTCCAACCATCACGGCCCTCCCAATATCCCTCCTGGCCCAGACCTCGTCTCCTCCACATCTGCCTCACAACCCCACAGCCGCCGTTCTCCCGCAGGCGTGCCCTGACTCACCCATCACAGAGCCTGGGGTCAGGGTCGGGGTCTCCGCAGAGTGCACGAAGGGTCCCTGCCAGCTCGCCCACCTTCACCTCCCCCACCCCACATTCCTCACTGCAGGCAGCTCTGGGCACATGGGGCTGCGTCACGTCTCCACGCCTTGGTCCACACTTGCATCCCAGCCTCTAGGATTCGGCTCAGACAGCAGCTCTCCCAGGAAGCCTTCCTGGACCCACACCCGCTCCCCCCGCCCACCCAGAGCCAGAACACTCCCAAGCACTCAGGGCTCCTGCTACCCTGGCCCCTTGTTGTGGAGAACTGACGGGCCGTCGCTCTGGGCAGTGGGCTGGGAAGGCACAGGGACACTGCAACCAGGAAAGCTGAGGAATGGTAGTTTACTCGCCCAGGCTCTTTCGCTGGAGCAGGGACTGGGCCGAATTCAGTAACTGTGTGTGCCCCACGCCTGCTATGTGCCCACCAGGGATGCAGATGCTCCCTAAAAGTAAATACGTAAACACGTAGCCTGGCTCCTATGCCCAGCCCAGCCCTGCACTCGGGGAGCATGACAAATGCACCACCATGGCCCTCGAGGGGCTCATGGTCTAAGGGAGGAGATGGCACCAAGCCCCCCAGGAAACCTCTGGGCGACAGCGAGCAAGCACAGTCCCCTCACACAGCACAGCTGGGGTGACACCTACCAATCTCCTATTTGTTGGTTAGTTCATTCAACAAGTGTTTCAGCGCCTCTGAGAGCCGGACACTGAGTGGAACCTTGCAAGGAAGCCACCACAGGAGACAGCAAGACAGGCCAAAGAGGGCTGACCAGGTCACACTGCAGGATGCACCCAGCCGGCCTTGCCCTCGACCCCCAACACCTCCACGGAACCCCAGGCCCCAAAGAACTCAATTTGAAAACCACGGTGGTTAATACTTTCAGGGCTCCCTGCTGTCACTCAGCTTCTCTGTGGTCCCAAAAGGGACGGCCGCCAATAACTATCAGCTTCCACGATTTCATGAGGGGACAGACTAGACACAACAGCACAGCCCTGGGCCACCAGAGCCCACAGCAAGAGGACAGACGGCGTCCCCAGGAAGCTGTGCCACGCCCAGTCGTCAGCTCACAACCCACACCATTTCTGCCCCCGCCTCATTCTCAGGTCATCCTGGCCCCAAGTGAGCATCGGTGACAGTGACACGGTCACTCGGCACGTGACTGTGACTAGACAGGTTAGGCTCAGTGCGTCTCCTCAACCTGCACCTGCTCCTGGGCGGAAATCTTAAAGAGCCAAGAGAGAAGCCCCACGGGAAGCCCCACAAGACAAGACTGGGGACCGCACACAGGAGAGACGGATAGCACTGAGGAGACAGACAGGCGCGTGTGGACGTGACCCACACCAGGTGGACGGGGCTTCCGCCGGGCGCCAGGCCGGGGCTGGGTTTTCCCTCCAAGTTAATCCTCATGGCATCCAGATTATCCCCGCGTGTGGCTCTCATCTCCTTATGAAGCCAACTGCGGTCGCTTCCAATCCATCCACAAGTGACATCATCCCAGATGGCTCTCCCTCCCCAGTCCCAAAAAACAAACGTGACTCTAACTTTGAAAACAGATGGAACCCATAAAATAAAAGAAACAAAAGGAAAAAAAAGTAATCTTGATATCAGACAGGCTGGAAATCTCAAGTGGAGCTGAGCTCCCAGGAGCCAGCACAGTTTCTCCAAAGCTCGGAGCTCTAAGAACAGGATAAATTGTGACTCTGGCCAAAAAGAGGGGGCTTGGCTCCCCTTTCAGACCACGTCAGGCCACACACGTACACTAGCCACGCTCGATGGTGAGTGCCCGCTGCTGCTCGATAACGCCTTCTGCAGCCCCACAAGGGAGAGGAGGTGACCGCCCGTTACTCGGATGAGCAAGCCGAGGCCCGGCAGCCTCTGGAGGTGTGGGCGCTGGCTCTACAGTGGGCCCCCCACACTCACATGGTAACCGGCATGGGAGGCAGTGAGAGGGGCAGGCCGGGTCTCCATGCTCTAGGGCCTCAGTGTCGGGGGAGACTAGCGGGGGCAGGTGGAAAACCACGTTCCCTGTGGTGGTGGGATCCCACGCACGCCGCCACGGCCCACTCAGGAAGATAAAGTGAACCTTCCAGGGCTCACTTCTCCATCTGGAACTTCTGCAGAACAAAGGTACCAACCACCTTCACTTCCCTGCTGTAGGCTCCTGAAATCCGGAAACTTCAGAAATTAAATCACGACGACAAAGGGGAAGAGGGAGAAAGGGACAAAGGAGGGAGCGAGACAGGAAGCAGGGAGAAGGGAAAAAAGAGAAACCAGAGAACTCACTGTCAAGTGATAAACTGCTCCTCCTGAAAACCCCAACTCCACGATCCCACCCCACAGACACACTCAAATGTGCAAAGGGTTTCAGGCTGTGGCTGTTAACTGCCACACTGTCTGTGACCGCAAAAGACGGGCAGTAACCTAAACTCCCAAGAGGGGCCATTAACAAACTGCACGCTGTCGAAGGAATACTATGCAGCAGTAAAAAGGAATGCAGACGCACTCCAGACACCCATAAGGCATTATCTCCAAGACACTGCTATGTGAAAATACAAGCACGAAACCCTGCGTGCTGTGTGCGATTATTTGGGTTAAGAACAACTCCAAGACAAGAATGCATGCTTGTGTATACAGAGAATGAATCTGAAAGTACTACAAGGAAACGGTCGTAGCGTGACCTCTGGGCACAGGCAAGGGTGGCTAGGGGTGGGGTGAGGAGACTTCCTTTTCACTGTGCACCCTCATGCAGCTCTTGAATTTTGTGCCTCTAACATACTCTAAAAACTAGAGAAATAAATTTTTTAAATTATTTTTTAAATAATAGCTGTCAGCATTCCCAGTGCGTGGCACAAAGTAGATGACTGATAAAGGATGAATCAATCAAATGATCAATCGATGAAGTAAAGCAGAGGAGGTAGGATTTATCTAAAAAAGCTTCCAAGTTCTGCTCAAAGAGGAGCTGAAATAACACCCATCCCGGGGCCACAGGACTGTCACGCATCAGAGCACTCAGCTCGGAGTCTAGGCCCATTTAAATACTCAGGCACCCGGGAAAGAGGCCAGGAGGGAACCCGCCAGTGTCAACTGTGGCAGCGGTAAAGTGATGGGTGTGGTTTCTTCCCTTACACTTTCTTGTATTTTCTAGTTTTCTATCATGAACATAGATATTACTTCCAAAATTATAGGAAAAGTAACAATAAAAGTTAAAGTTAGGGGCCGGCCCAGTGGCGTAGTGGTTAAGTTCGATGTGCTCCACTTCGGCAGCCCATGTTCGAGGATTCAGATCCCAGGCGTGGACCTACACCACCCATCAAGCCATGCTGTGGCGGCATCCCTCATATAAAATAGAGGAAGACTGGCACAGATGTTAGCTCAGGGCCAATCTTCCTCAAGCAAAAACGAGGAAGATTGGCAACAGATGTTAACTCAAGGCAAACCTTCCTCAGCAATAAATAAATAAATAAATAAACTTGCTCTTCTCACAAGCTGGATAATTGATGACGGGAAGATCCATTTTGCAAAAGGGACCCCCTCTCCCCCAGAAGTCCAAGGAGAGCACAGCCTTGGGGAATTTCAAATACTCATTTACAAAATGAACTATCGTCTCATGGAAGGAGGGAGAGCAATCAGAGAAGACTTCAAGGAGGAGGCGGCATTTGCCACTTGAACAAAAACTGAAGGGAAACTATAGGCACCGGGGAGGAGAAGTTAAAGGGGAATAACATGAGGAGTGCCCACTTCCCAAAAGATGTGGGGGATGTGGTAGCCCACCAAGGGGGCAGGCTGGAGCCATCAAAAGTAGACAGTAGATGTAGGCTGGGCACGCACCAAAGGCCTGGAATGTCACAGTGCATTGGCCAGTGAGTCCCAAATGCCAGGGCAGATGACTAAGAATCACCACTGGAACTTGTCAACAACACCAATTCGAGGTCCAGTCCTGAAGACTCTGGTTCAGGAGGTCCAGAGGCAGGGCCTGGGAGGGATTCAGGTTTGTCAGGCTCCCAGGTGTCGCTCAGGAGCAGCCAGGTATGGGATCAGCAGGACCAGACTTGCCTGGGGGAGGGCGGGGGTGGGGTGGTGGTGTTCATTGAGCAGCAGCCTTTCTAGGTCTTGGGGACAGAAGTCAAGGACACAAAAGAACTAGAAATAGCTGTGGTGCTCACAGTCATAGTCTGGGAGCAGCAGGCCGAGGCCACACACCAGCACCAGGAGAGGACGGGAGGGGACACTGCAGGAAGATGGTAACTTCTCCAATTTTTCAACCACAGTCCTGCCAGGAGGTGGTCAGAAGCCCAGGACTGA